TCAAGAAGGGTCAGCATCTGGAACCTGTGTTGATGGAGACGATGGACTCAGTGTTGATTAAGATGAATGAGTATTTTGCTTTGGGAGATAACGACATACTTAGGTACCAGGACAGGCTATGTGTACCAGATGTGAATGATTTGCGGATCGGGATCATTGCAGAGGTCCAAGGTTCCAGATATTCCATACATCCAGGTTCCACCAAGATGTATAATGATCTTAAGCATATCTATTAGTGGGATGGAATAAAGAAGTACATTGCAGAATATCTGGCCAAGTGTCCTAATTTTCAACAGGTTAAGGCAGAAGATCTTAACCCTGATAGTCTTACTCAGATTCTTGAGGTTCCAACTTGGAAATGGAAGGCCATTAATATGGGCTTCGTGGTTGGTCTTCCGAAGACTAGGAGATAGCATGACTCCATATGGGTTATTGTGGACAGGATGACTAAATCCTCCAACTTTATCCCTGTGAAGTCAACTTACAGAGCCGAGGATTATGCGAGACTCTACATTGATGAGATTGTGAGATGGAATGGGATTCCTTTGTCTATCATTTCATATAGAGGATCTCAATTAACTTCACATTGCTGGAGATCCTTCCGGAAGATCTTAGGCATACAGGTGATGCTTAGTACTGCCTTTCATCCTCAGACTGATGAGCAGACAGAGTGCACCATTCATACATTGGAGGACATTTTTAGGGCGTGTGTGATTGACTTTAGGGGTAATTGGGACGACCATCTGCCTTTGATAGAGTTCTTATATATTAACATATATTACTCCAGCATTGGGATGACACCGTTTGAGGCACTGTATGGTTAGAGATGTAGGTCTCCAGTTGGGTGGTTCGAGGTTGGAGAGTGATCCATCTTGGGTTCAGAGATCATTCATGTGGCCTTAAAGAAGGTCAAGGTGATTAGGGACAGGTTGTCTACTTCCTATAGTCGAAAGAAGTCTTATGCAGACAATAGAAAACGACCCTTAGAGTTTGATGTTGGTTACCAAGTCTATTTGAAGATATCACCTATGAAGGGGGTGATGAAGTTTGGAAGGAAGGGGAAGTTGAGTCCGAGGTATATTGGACCATATGAGATCTTACAGCGTGTGGGTGCGATGGCCTATGAGTTGGTATTTCCTGCGGATGGAGATTATGTTTATCCAGTCTTTCATGTGTCTATGTTAAAAAAGTGCCTAGGTGATCCATCACTGATTTTACCAGTTGAAGGTTTGGGGGTCGATGAAGACTTATCCTATAAGGAAATACCTGTTGAGATTTTATACAGACGGATCAAGTGGCTAAGGAACAAAGAGGTTTCCATAGTAAAGGTATTGTTGAGGAATCATCTTGTTGAGGGTTCTATGTGGGAGAACGTGGACTGCGTGAGATCCCGCTACCGTCATCTTTTTAACCCTTGAAGTTAGACTTCCTACTCTTAAGTCTAAGTTTCCTTATCTCTCTATTCTTTGTTGCTATTGCTTGATTGTGTATAGTAACTATGTTATGATCTGACTGGCATTATGATAGATAGTTAGTAGTGTCATTTGAGGGATGAATGTTCCTAAGGGGGGAGGGATAATGTAACAACCCTAAAAAATTGATATGCTAAGTAATGCTTAATTTGTCTAGAATGCCTTTGATTAGATCAAGTTCACACGGATTGATGCGCGTAGAACCATACCTCTGAACCCCTTTGAAATCCAAGCCAACTAACTTGGGGAGTTAGTTGAGCTAGGAGAGGCTGGGTCCAGTTATGTAGGGCTCATGAATATGATGATTTACCTGGATGAGTCTTTACTAGACTTAAAAAGGGGAAATCTTAAGTTTGGAGGGTTTAGGGTAAAATGGTCTTTTTCTAGGATAAGGGTAGTATAGTAATTACCCTAAATATGTAATTAATTATTTAATTAATAAAGTGGAGGGGCATTTTGGGGAGATAGGACCAAAATTGGCCTTTGAGTGAAGTCTTGCTCCACCCGGGTTCGAACCTAGGTGGAAGCAATAATTTAAATTGTTTTTATTTAAATTTCTCAATTAACTTAATTAATTAATATTTATTTTCTGATTTAATAAAAAAGAAAAATCATATTTTCTAAAGGGTTGAAAGAGTCCTAGTTTGACTATGTCTTTACCTAAGCAAAAACTACCTTGAACATTTCAGTCTCTCAGGTCAATACCTCACTTTCACAATCATTCTCTCTTATTTTTCACGTTTCTCTTCCAAAAGAAATACTAAAGCAGAAAAATTACTAAAGTTCTTCACACTTGAAGAACTTACACGAAAATATAAGAAAAACAAGCTAATATAAAATGTTAGACAAAACGGAGGATTATTCCGTCTTTTTGGTGTTGAAGTTGAGGGGATTCGGACCTGATTTTTGGAGAAGGTTTTGGGCAGCAATTAAAGGTTTGAACTACATAAAAGGAATGGGTTTTCTTACTCTTGGTCCCTTTCCCAAGAGACCCTTCAGACTCAAATGAATCTACACTATAAACTAGGGTTGTTCCCCTTTACACATTCTCTGTCACTAGATCCCATCAATTTGTTGGTTGGGTATGTTTTCTTGTAGAAATTAGGGACGTAATGTGTTTTCGTGATGATTAGGATCATGTATGTATGTGTGAAGTTATGTGAATGTTAAGCATGCTGTCCGAAATTATGTGTTTATGTGTGCAAAATGTGTAGACGTGACATATACTCTTAGTTTGAAGTTCGAGAATGACATGTTATGGTTGTATTCTTAAATGCACAAATTTGTATAAATCGTGATGTTCATATGAAGTATAATGTTGCTGATTTGAATGGAAATTATTAGCTAAATAACTCCATGAAAATGAACCAAAAGATGTACTAAATGATCCATGAATTAGCCTAAAAACTAACATGTAAGTGTTGATGAAAATGAGCTGAAAAACGTACAAAATTTCCAGCATCTTGTTGATGAGTTTTGGCCAAGATAAGTGATGTGAAAAAAATGCTGATTTGAGTGCAAATCTTTATAGAATTTGATCTTCAAAATGCACCTAAAGAACTCACTAAAAACTACTCCAAACGTATACACATTTAATGTGAAAGAGGTGAGAAAATAGGCTGCAAAAATGTGATCAAAATTCCATCACTTTGATGTTAGTTTCGGTCAAGTTAAATCAATTAACACGTTATGAAAAAATGAAGAAAAATAAGTGAAGTCATTGAGGATCGAACCCGTGACCTCACCATGTAAAATTCAAAAAAATAATGTACGTTAAAGGAATGTGGTAAGGGGTATTCATACCCGTGACCTTGACCGAAAATGTAATTCTAAAAATAAGAAATGAGAGGAGTGGGATTCTAACCCACAACCTCTCGTCCAGACTTAAGGAATTAAAAAGAGAATATCGGTTGAGGCATGTGGGAATCGAACCCACGACCTCTAGGCTGATTAAGGGAATTAAGGAGAAAAAAATAAAGTGAGGTCGTGAGGATTCGATCCCACACCCGCACGACCAACTCTGAAAAGTCAAGGAAAAGAAAATAAAAGAAATTAGGATCTAGGGATCAATCCAACAACCTCTTTGTCCCAAATGAAAAAAGAAGGAAAAAGAAAGAAAAAAAAGGAAAAGTAAATGTTGGCGTTGGGGCTCGATCTCGGATCCCTAAGCCAAAGTGAGGTTAAGTCAAACCTAATTTAAAAGACAACTGTTAACCAAGGGATTCGAAACCGGTTCTTTTGCCAAAATTCCATATTGATACATAAGTCATACATGAATAAATGTTCAAAAATAATGTTGCCTACATAGATCAAAATCGAGATCTTGTTACACTTATAAGATGCATAAGTCTTGTACCACACAATCTTATGAAGATATGAATCACTTAAAAGAACTATGAATGAAGCCTCACGACTTGTATTTATAGAAACAAAAGTAAAGCATACATTTAAAGTAAGTGAACCTAAGATGTATGTAACTAAATGATGCAACCCTAGAAGGGTCAAGTAAGAGTGTGAAACACACTAAATGGCCAAGTGCATTGGCATATGATGAAATGAACATTCACGTAAAGGGGTGAGTACTTATGAAAGTAATTGTGCTAAAGTTAATGAATGAGGTGACAATATGATAAAAAAATAATGTGAAATACGAGAGAAATCTCAAATGAGCCTAAGTAATTTTACCAAAATGTACTCACCTATGAGAGTGTAAAGTTAACAAAGAGACCAGTCTCTATGAACATTCTAATGAAAGTATTGAAGTTAATGCATACTTAATACTAATGATGAGAAGAGAAATCACTTAATGAACTATGATGTCGTCATACTAGAAGCCAGCCTTCATGATGTATGAGCTGAATGTAATGGAACTTTATACTAAGAACCATTAGGATAGCTATGAGCGGTAATGCCTTACTTCGGGAAGGGCGGAGGTTCACATAACTCTCATGAGATGAGACTGTTCGACATGCTAGGTATGGGTCTCCTTATATCTCCTAGTCTTTCAACCTATACTGCTAATATAGGGATCAAGCAGGGTTCAATCTCCCATATATGTTAGCATATTTTTTGTTTTTTGCATATCCAAAGGCGCCCTGTGGTGGAAGTGACCCAACCGTTTGTGCCAAGTTTCTCAAACACCGGACTTAGTTGGATTTTATCTGTTCTTCATCCATTGGATTTATAGAAAAGCTTTTGCCCTGCATTTTAATCTAAATGGTTCCTCACAACTTCGATAAATGATCAAACACGCCTTATCTTCAAAAAATAATTTCAACCCATTTTCAAATAACCGTCCAACACTTAATAAATTTTTATCAAGTTCAGAATTAAATAGAACTTCAGAAACAAATTTTGTGCCTATATAATCTCAATAGCTATAGTCCACTTTCCTTTTGTAGTGAGATATTCTCCATTTCCATTCCTGACTCTTGATGTTGTTGTTCTATTAATCCTTTTGTAAAGCTTTTCATCACTAGTCATGTGGTTTGTACAACAACTATCATAAGACAACTGTTACTTGAAATACTAGATGCAAAACTTGATGAAAAAAGAAGTGTTCTTCCTCATGTTGATTTGCAACTTGAGATTCTCCTTGTTGTTGTTGTCGTCCATTCTCTTTGCAGATGATCTCAGCATGCCCAAATTTTGGATATTTTTTGGCATCTCATACCCGACTTTCTCCAGCATTTGAAGTGAGGATGATTCTTCCTTTCGCAATATTGATATGGGGGAATTTTTCTCCTTTGTTGCTGCCTGAATTGTGGCTACTTTCATTACCAACGGAAACCAGACTATTTTCTGCATAATTCTTCTTCCCTTTGATTTTCTTGTTTTTTTTTCAAGGATAGTTTGGCAGATTGTCCTGAAGTACACCTTCTACCGATCCTTCCTGTCTCATTAACCTTCTTTGCTCGTGTACCTGCAATGCATTTGGTAATCCTGCCGAAGTTATCCTTGACAGATCATTGGTATTTTCTAAGGAAGCAATGGTTGGTTCAAACTTCTCAGGTAATGTAACAAGAAGCTTTTCAATAACTCTGCTATCAGGAAGCTTATTTCCCAACATTCTTACCTTGATCACAATGCTATGAAGCCTATCTTTGTATTCTTTGACATTTTCAGAATCTTTATTTCTTTTTACCTCAAATTCTATTATAATTATCATAGCTTTCCTACCTTTGATTCACTTATATCTTTGATATTTTTCATTTAAAAAATTCCAGATTGCTTTTGCTTATTCTAAAGTCATGATTTGGGGAAAAATTGTAGGTGATAGTGCAACATATAAGCAAGTTTTTGCATTGGATTTTCTTGTATTCCTTTACTTGTTAAGCTTGACCTGAGTCATTGCTGGATTGCTTGGTAAAACAAAGAATTATGTAATCCTCCTCTACTAGTTCCAGAGATTGTTCTCTCCATAAAACACTGGTGAAGAAATAGCAGAAGAACCCAAAGAGTTTTTCGAATCCATGTTTCTGATGGCTGTTCAAGGAAACAGGTAGGGACTTTATTGATGGTCCCCTCATACTACACTCACAAGTACCTTAATAAGAGGGGTCTGATATCAATTTCTGGGTGTTAACAGCTAAAGAAAAAACATACGACAGAAGAAGAAAAGAGAGATATTATATTAAGTTGAAAGAAGAAATGTTTAAATAGAAGGAACTCCTAATGATATGCAATAAATAATTGAGTACCTACAAAATAAGAATATTCCTAATAACTAGGCACTAAGTCTACCAACAACTCTACATGCCTAAAAACTAAGAAACTCAAAGCTGAAAAACTAAAACAGGAATATATATCCTCTAAAAACAGAAAATACATCAGTAACCATGTCATCATGTCAAATCAAGATTAATTAACAACTCATCAGGCAGATTGTAATAGAAATAAAGTCAGTAAACTCTTTTATCTTTATGTTGGTTATACTTGTTTAAATTTAATATGATAAATATTGTTTAATTATTTCTACTATCGTCACAATAATTCATTCTTAATCTTTATGTTTATTTTGGTTAGTAAATTATCTATTATTTGTTGCCAACCATTATGTACTTTAAATGAGCATTTACTTAAGTCTAAAAACTCTCAAATGCAAAATTATCAAAAAAAAACAGTCTCTCATTTAACAATTATCTAAATTGTCTTTGATGATACATATTTTGTATTAAGTTCAAAACAGGTAACGTACTCATTGTTCTTCAATTTGTGTAACAAAGTTTGCTCTCTTAAATTCTGTAACTAACATGGTCTTGTGATACTTTTCCTTTTACTAAACTTCAAGGATCCAAAAATGTGGAAGTACTGGTGGTAGAAGGACATCATTAAAGGGCGAGAACTTGAGCACCAACGCATTTTAGGGTGGTTGCAATAGACGACAATTTACATATCAGTGGAGATTTTTAGCTATTGTCCATGGAACTCAGATGATTGTCTTGGAAAAAAAATCCATTAAAATTTATACTATCAAAATTTCCAGCTGAAATTTATACTATCAAAATTTTCAGCTGAGAAACATATATTTTTTTCTGGATATAAATGGGAGTAATATCAAAGAATTTGATTTGAATTTGTAGGTTCATTACTCGATTCTGCAATTTCAACAGGTTTGTTTTATTGCAACAAAGTGAAAGAAAATCTTACTAGAAGTTATTTTGTTTACTTTTAGTATTGTAGAAGTGTAAAGAAATTGGATCTCTCTGATTGTAAATGCTTCAAAAGTATTCTAAACTTCAAGGGTTCACGAAATCTCGAGACTTTGGTGCTTCAGAATTTCTCAATTTTGAAGGAGATCCATCCATCAACAGGAAAATTTGATAGACTAAATTGTCTATGTTTGTATTGTTGCAAAAAGATTATGGGTCTTCTGAGCAGCACATTCAAGCTATAATCCCTTGAATACTTGGACATTAGTTATTATTCATCTTTACAAACACTGCTAGCTGACATTGGAGATATGCAGAGTCTAAGGCATCTTCTTGCATGTGATACCAGTATAAAACAACTGTCTGTTGAAATGTTAAGAAGACCGAATTTAGAATCCTTTCGATGAACGTTTCATAAGATTATATGTATAGAGATATTGGGAGTTTATCCAACTTAACTTCTCTAAATTTGAGCGGCAACAATTTTCTCTATCTACCCTTTGGTTTTTTGAAGTTACCATTGTTGATGTCCTTGTGTTTGAATGATTTTGAGAATCTTCAAACACAGTCGTCAATATTGAATTTAGAGTACCTTGAAATTCTTGAACTTAGAAGCTACCGAAAATTGGTCATTAAAGTGTTGACAACCTTCCTTCAATTTATAAGATCAACATGATTAATTGTACTTCTCTGCAGATTCCATTTGATGAAGGATTCTTTAGTGCCCTACACTATCAATTCCATCTAGGAAATATATGAGTATGAGTCCTCACCCTCTCGCTCGTATCACATTATTAATTATCTAGTTGTAACATCACACAATTCGAAATAGTTAGGAAGAAGCTTAGAACTGGAAATAGGCATTTTTGGAAATAATTAAATGGATATTTACTTTGAGTTAGAAAAAAATGAGTTTTTGGTCAACTTCAACCGGTAATAACCCCTATCTCAGGATGAGTTAGGTGTATTTCAAGATATGGTTGGAAAGTTCTTGGAATAATATTTACAACACCTCTAAGTTTGCGGGATTCCGAGTTCATATGAGTAAGTTATACCCTTTGTAACTTGGTTTGTTCAGTTAAAGAATTGGCCAATCTGGATTTTAGAAGGGTAGTTTGATCTTATCCTAAACATCACGAGGCATTTCCTATCACAAATTATAATCCTTGAAGTCATAATTCAAATCGCGGATATTGAAGGGTCAATTCAAAGTGAAGTCAAGAAAAGTTTATCCAAGATTTTAAAGTTCTTTTACAGCTGTTTTAACTTTGTTTTAAGACTTAAAGTTCCCGATGAGTTAAGCAAAGAGTCAGATTTGAGGTTCATTTCTTCAAAAATATATGGGGACTAAATATTCCAGAAGGATTAAAAATGTTCACAATTAAATAAGAATTGAAACTGATATTTCCAAAGAGCCTTTCAGCTAGTTTTCAAAGAAGATTAATTGCTTTCTAAATGGAAAAAGAGAGGAAACATTGATTTCCAACGTAGGCTTTGAGCTAAGTTTTTGAGAAATAATCTAAAATCATAGAAGGAAGTATGTATATAAACATAAGAGCTAGTATTATATTAATTTTTGGAGTAGTATTGAGCAACGATATGAGGAAGAGTTCAGACAACTCACAGCCCCCATAAACCATATAACCAGTATGGATAGAAATGGGTCAATACTTTTAAGATGATTCCTTTATTTCTTTTTAGCATAAACGAATGGATCTACTTAGTAGTTTAGGTTCTGTACTAATTGCAAGGTATAGGAAGGCCATGGCAGCATGAGGCAAAATAATGTATCATCACAATATCTCTTATGTGATGGTTGTCGATTAGAGAAACTGCTACAGAAGTTAATTATATTTTATGCACACACATACATCTCAGAGTTATATTGTATCTTCGCATACATATAGAGTTGATATCATGTTTTAAGTAACTTTTCTTGATATTGCACCTCCTCTATAATGAGTTCAGTCTTGTAGAGTTGATTTGAGCCAAGTAAGTTGTTCAAATTTGCATTCAAGCCTATGTTTGTAATTTAGCATTCCAACTCGCATACTCGTACATTCAATGTACCGATTCCAGTTTTAATGCATCGTATTATGATGCAGATACAGGTAGCTAGGATCGATATCCAACGAGTTGTTCAAAGTCATTTGGTGAGCCTCCTTGTATTTCGGAGGATTCATTTCATTGCTTTTAGTATTCATTTTACTTTCATTAGGATGTTGTGGGGCTTGTCCCAACATCCATCTCAGTTCTTTTTAGAGGATTCATAAAAAGGTATATTAGTTGTTTAGTCTTATCAATTTTAGTTGTATAGTTTAAGACTTGAGTTACCATTTTGGCTAAAATATTATTTTTTTAAGTTATTACATGAACTTATCTTTGTTGAGTTAAAGTATTCAGCTGAGTAAGTAAGTCAGGCCAAGGGTTCGCTTAGGGCCAGCAATGGTTCTCGAGTGTCAGTCCCGCCTAGGGTGTAGACTCGGAGTGTGACACTAATTATGTCTTTGTCTAATGAAGCAGGGGTTACGAATAGATCTCCTAATCAATGAAATTACATCACTATGCCCACGTAATAGAATTATAAGTTCTTAGGAATGGTTCTCTGGTTTGTTTGTGACTTTAAAGTTTTATCCCATTATGGACTCATCGTTATTGTTTTATCTAACAACAAGCCTTTATTTTTTGAGTGGACTAGGTATATATGATAATATCCCATTTTGGATGCTTCGTTGTAGGTTGTTTGAATTTGAATTTTGTTGGTTTTCAAACAACACCAAATGTATTTTACTATCTCGTAATTGGAATTACAAAGGAATTTAAGAACAAAAATGGAAATTGAAGAACACAAGTAGAAGAAAGCGATGAGAAGCAGAACTCATAGAAAGGGGATGAGAGGACTAAACACGTTTCTCAACAATTTAAATAATCTCTAAATCACATATCACTATCCTTTTTGATGGAACTATTTCTTTACTACTACTTAGCCTGGATCCCAAATTAACATGATTTTATTGCTCGTTCTCAGCCCAATAACTCTTTTCAGATCAATAACGACTTGTATGAAATTAGTATATACGTTGGGCTGGACTTGATTCATAACCAAAATGGTGTTGAAGCTATTGCAGCTTAGTTTGGAGTAAAACAGTGTTGTTTCAATGTACATATTTAGAACTTGACTCAATGCACAACCAACATGGTGAGAAAGGAACACACTTTATACATGAATCTGAAGCAGATTATGGACACATCATTAACTAAAAGAAGAGTGTTGGAATCCAAATCACTCACCGCAAAGGAAACCAGGTAGCTGATTTTTTTGTTGACTTTTTCATTCTAAAGACACAGGTAGACACTAATACTAGTGTGCCTACTATACTCAAACATGGAGGAACAAAAACCTATAGATCATAGAGGC